AGTATGATCAGTACATTAAGCACATAGACATGCATAAAAGGCATGGACTATAATTCATTTATTCCAAAAGATTAAATACTAGCGTCTAAATTTAAATTATTAGAAAATGTAACATTAATTATTCTTTCACTTGTTTAATAATATATTTCCACCTTTTATATTTTTTCATTAGTTGGTCCTCCACATAAACTAGTCGATGCAGTTGTATCTTTCTAAAGAGTCTATGCAATAACTCCATTTATTGTAATATTTCTACCTTATCATCCCATTAATCGATCATAATATATTAAAATTCAATTTTATATTAATAAACAGGTAAATTTGATCTAAATGTATTTTGTAAAACACAATTTTTTCCACATACATCATATCCTCCTAAAAGTTTATATGTATTACATCTTGTAACATGAATTGCTCCATTAGTACCAGAAACAATAAATCCACACCGATGAACATGACTTTATTTAAACCTATGATATAAACATTTTTCTATACGTACTTTATTTTAAGATTGTGATATTATAATTAAGCTAAATACTATTAAAAAAACTTTTGAATTAATGTTTAATATAATATTATTCATTGAAATTCAGATATTTCAGATATATTTACTTTTTATAAATATTTATTTTATTTATATAATAAAAAATATATATTAAATTTAAAAAAAATATTTTAAAATTATACATATGTAAAAAAAAATATTTTTATTAATATTAATTATTTCTGATTATTTTCTTTTATATATATATTTTTTTATAATTTATAAATTATAAAATATAATTCATTTTATAAATATTTTTAATATATTTTTATAAATTAGTATATTTTAACATTTTATATGAATTTATTGGATTTATTTTATTTTTTAAACTATATAAAATTCATAAATTATTTAATATAATTTACAATTAAATTATTAAAAAAAGGAATATATTATTATTATTTATAAGATATATATAAATATAACATTATAATATTTTTCATTAATTAAAAACTATTTTAAATTTAATAAATAATAATTAAAATATATTTTATTTATATAATTATAATAAAATATTTATTTTTAAACAAAATAATTTAATTTATAATTTATAAAATAAAAAAATATTTATTAAAAAAAAATTATTTTATTTATTGAGATAATAATTTATATTTATTTTTAATTCATTTTTTTATTATATAAATCATAATAATATATAACTAAAAATATTTTTTTATATCGACTGATAAAATTAATAAAAAATATAAAGGTTATGGTACTATAGAATTTTTATATGTTTTTGTCTGTACTATATTGCATATAGTAGTATATCAAATATTATTTAAAAAAAAATATGTTCTAACATTTTTTTAAAATTTTATATTTTATCAACCTTATAAATATGAAAGATTGTTTGTAATATTTTTGGAAATTCATTAAATAATTAAAGATTTCTTAAAAGTAAAAAGAAAAATTAAAAAGAAAAATAAAATACAAATACAAATAAAAGATAAGCATAAAGAAATATTAAAATATATATAAAATAAAATATATATTAAATTAAAATAATTTATTTAATATTATTAACTTTATATATATTATATTTTTTTTTTTGGATAACTATATTAAATATAAATTACAAATATTTTTAAAATTTTATTGAAATAGATTTTATTTTATTTTTAAAATAAATTAAAATATCTTTCTATGAAAAAAAAAAATATCATTACGATTCTTTTATAATTTAAATAATATCTAAAAGCCTTTTTTTAGTTTCTTTTTCGTCTACAATTTTTTATATATTTTAAATATAAACATCTTTTAAAGTTTTATATTTTTCTTCTAAATCAATAATTTATGTATTTAAAATTATTATTTATTGTTCTAAAGAAATTATATAATTTTTTATTTATTCTTACAATTCTACTTAATTTTCAATTAATTTTATATATTATTAATTAGTATTTTCAAATTCTTTAAATTTTTCAGAAAAATAAATTTAATTTTTTTTATTTTCATGCTAATTTATATATATTTTAATTAGTTAATCCTGAAAGAGATAGCCAATTTAATTTTTAAATAATTTTTAAAATTATTATATAAACTAAAATCTAAATTGAAATAAACAAACAAACAAAAAGCTAAACCAAAAATTAAAAAGGATACTTTACAATTAACACAATTTCTACTATATTTTTAATATTTATTTTATTTTATATTTTTTAAAGGATTTTAAGAATTATTTTAATATAAAAATTAATTATTTTCAATATTATTTGGTGTATAAATAATTTTTTTATCTTATTTATTTTCATATTTAAAATTTGCATAGAATTGATTTTCATGTTATTTTTAGTTTATACTATCTTCGATTTTATAAAAATATAAATAACCACTTTTTTTTTCATCTAATTTATTATTTTCTGTATAAATATCTTATTATCTTTTTAGTATAATTTGTTTTTGACAAATATTATCTTTATTATAAAAATATCTATTTTTATGTATATGGCTTAGTTATTAATTTTCATTTAAATTCAACTCTATTTATTCAATAGAAATTAAATCGTTAATAATTTATGAGCTATCCATTTTATTTAGTATTATATATATTAAAATATAATATACAATAAATAAAAAAATATACAATAAATAAAAATATAAATAAAATATATTTTTTATTTAAATTTAAATATTTATATATTATATTATAATTTACATATAAATTAATCATATATAAACTATATAGAAATGTAAAAAAATTCTTAAGCTTAATCTCACTAAACATTTCATAATTCAAAAGAAAATATCGAAATATTCTCAAATACATTTCAAATACATAATAATTCCTAAAACACATTTCGTATGAATAATAATTTATCTGAATAGAATTTTCATGATATTCCTTTTTTTGCTTAAAATAATAACTAATAATAATTTAGTTAATTAAATCAAGAAAACAGTTAAATAAAATTTACTAATTAATAAAATTTATAATAATCGCCATTTTCTTATAATAAAAATAATCAATAATAAACTAATAACAATAACAATTTACAAGAAGAATCAAATAAAATTTCAAAACATCTTTTAAATATGATAAAAAATACTGAAAATATATATAGTAAATATTTTTAAGCAGACGAAAACGAAATAAATGAGAATATTTAAAGGAAATAAGTTCTTCCGAAACCTCAAATTTTAAACAAATTCAATTTAAACTCCCCTAAATCAGTTTCAATTTAAAAAAAGAAAAATTTTTAATAGTAAATGTAAATAGAAAAGGAAAATAATTAAAGAAAAATAGTAAATTAAATAGCATTTTTTTACTAAAAATTAAAAGAAGATAAAAATTAGTAAATAGAATAGTAATTAAATAATTAAGAAAAACTTGAAAAAAAAAATATTGAAGTTAAAAAAAAAGAAGTCCTTATATAAAAAACAACTGATTTTGAATTAAAAAATAATTATTCTTTTGATTTTTTTTTTTAAATTTCTGTTAATGAAATTGATATTTTTAAAAAATAACTTGATCGTAATCACCTTTAATAACTTTTTTTTGAATAACTGTCTTTTTACGAACTTCCTATATAAAGAAATTATTCTAAAAAAGATGATTTTGTTAAAATAGTAGAAAAAAATTAAAATTTTTAAATAATAAAACACCTATGTATATATAACATGTTATCCAAAATTAAAAAAATAATCGAAATACGACAAAAATTTAAGGAATTAAAAAAAGATTTAGTAATTTTGTAAAAAAAAAGCACTTTTCTAAAAAAAAATAAAGATAAAATACTAATTTTGAAAGATCTGAAAATGAGATTGATTTAAAAAGGATTTTTTGAGTATTTAAAAAATAAAGTTTTTTATAAAAAGTAAGTATAAAGTTATTTAGATTAAATTATTTATTAAAGAAAAAAACATTAGATTTTTATGTGTTTTTTTTGGATGAAAACATACAAAAATATAAGATAAGATAAAATTTGTATTAATAAAGAATTATAACTTTTTTTTTTAAAGAAGTATTTTTTAGGCTTAAAAAAGTAGTGTTTTTTTAAAAAAGGAAATTTTTATAGACCATTTTTTTAAGAAATAAGGAAAAAAAGGATGTTCTTTATTTTAAAAGAGTTTTGGAATAAATTTTTGGTATTTTTTTAATTTTAGAAAATGAAAGTTAAATAAAAGAATATTTCTGGTTTAATTTTTGTTTAAAAGTTAAAAATGAAAAGTTTTGCAATTTTAAAAGCTTTGAAAAACAAAGAAAAAAAGTAGTTTATTTATACCAAAAATATTGCTTGTAGATATTAAAGGGAATTATATGAAATTAATGTTTAAATTAAATAAATGTTTTTCTTTAAAAAAATAAATGAAAATTTAAATGAAGATGATGAATTCGAATCTGAAAAGGCTTTAAGAAAAGCCAGATAAGAAATGCTTTTATAAAAATTAAATAATTAGGCGGCTATTTCTTAAGATAATTAATCAACTTATAAAGAAAAATATTAGTAGTCTTAATATATAATAGAGAACTGTTAAAAAATTTAAGAAAAATAAAAAATAATAAAAAACATTCAAATATTTTAATTTTATTAACATATATAATCTTTAATATAAAAACTCAAAAAAAATTGTCTATATAAAGAAGAAAGTAAAAATCTTGTAGTTCTAAAGGTAAAAAAAAGAGATATTTTGTAAAAAATAAAAGAAAAAGAAATATTTGTTAAAAAAAAATCTTCATTTTTACATTGGAGGGGTTTATTTTTAGAAAAAGAACTAAATGTGAAACTGGAATTATTAATTTAAATGAAAAATGCATTGAAAATTTTAAATTTTTTTTAATAAAAATACTCTTTTTGTAAAATTTAGAAGGAAAAAATTGAAAAAAAAAAGGAAAATTTTTTAATTTAAAAAAGTTTTTTTTATTTGAAAAAAATTTCTTGGCCAAAAATTTAATTAGAAAATTAAAAAATTTTATTCTTTAAAAAAAAATTTTTTTTTCAAAAATTTGTTTTTTTTAAAGCTTTTTAAAAAGTCAAAAAAATGTCAACTCTTTTTTATTTGCAAAACTTGAAAAAAAAAAGCCTTAAAAATCTTTAAGTTTAATGTTTACTATAAAAAAAACTGCGAACTACATACCAAAAATCTCTTAAATAAAGACTTTTAAGAAAGTGGCTTTAAAGACTTAATTAAAAGCATTTTTTGAGAAATTTCTTTTCAAGAATTTTACTTTCTACAGAAGAACTTATCATTTTTAAATACAAAAATAAATAAAATTTCATCTAAAAAGTTTTTTAAGCATGGAAATAGATTCTTTAAGAAAATGAGAATACAAAAATTTAAAAAATATAGAATTTTTCGGCTAAAATACATTATAATTCCGTTTTAAAAACTCATTTTTTCTTCATTTGGAAGAAATAGATTTGCTAGGAAAAATCTCTAAAAAAGTTATTTTTTTAAATATTGCCAAAACAATTAAACTTATGCATTATTTAACCATGGAAAAAAATTACATTTTAACATACGGGAAAAATTATTTCGCATTAAAATTAAAAAAATAGAGATTTAAAAATAAATGCTTTTTTTGGATTAAAAAACAATTATAAGATTAAAAGAAAAAGTGTAAATTTTTTCAAGAAGAAATTTTTTGAAAAAATTAAGGAATTTTAGTAAAAAAGTATATAAAATCGTTAAAAAATATATAAAAATTTCATTTTGGTGAAATACTTTAAAAAATTAATGATTAATTTATTAAAAAAAATGAAGAAAAAGAAAAATTTAGAAAGAATTTAATTATTTCTAGTTTAAAAAAGTTTAAAAAAATCCTTCTTTTATTTAAAAAATTATGTTTAAATTAAAAATAGTGAAAAATTATTAAATATTAAATTAAGGAAATATTATGAAAAAAAACTTAAGAAAATAATATTTGTTTCTTTAAAAGTATATGAATTAAATTAAAAAAAAAAAAAAATTAAATTTGAAAAATCAGATGAGTTTAGGGATTTGAGCTAAAAGAAAAAAATAAACAAATACTAATTAAATATCGATGAAAATATGAGATATTAAATTATTTAAATTTTTAAGTAATGGAGAATTCTTTCAATTAAAAATAAAGACATTAAGTTTATTCTTTCCAAAATATAATAATAAAAATCAAGAGATTTGCTTAAAAAAATAATGTTTTTATGGAAATAAGAAACACCCTTTATTTAAAATTAAAAAATATAATAAACTATAAACATATAAAATTATTAATAAAAATAATAAGAATCTAATAAATAATATTAATAGTAATAAAAATAATAATTTAATTTGTATTAATAAAAATAATAATATGAATAGTAATAGAATTTAAAATAAAGTATTAATGAAAAATAAAATAAAAAAAAAAAAGTGTTAAATTTGATATTGAAAATTAAAATCAATTAAATAAAATTGAAAATTAAGATATTTAAATAAATTAGGATTTGGAATAAATTTATAAGGATAATATATTGTTTTATGAAAATTTAATCAAAGAAAAATCAATAATATAACCTTTAGAAATGTTTTGATATTTTTTATTTTATTTATAGATATTATTTTATATATTTATTATATTTATTCTTTTTAAAATAAAAGAAAAATAAAATAGAATTTTTATAGAAAAAAATAAATTTTTACAAATATATCTTATTATATTAAATTTTGAAAATACTTTTTTTTTTTCATTAATCTTATATTAAATCTTTTTGTATTTCATATCATTGATTAATTTCATTTTCATAATCAAATTTTTATTTTTTAATTTCATATTTTTACATATCTTATTCTTAATTATCATCTTTTTAGATGACAAATTATTAAAATTATTATTTTTATATTTATTCTTAATAAATATAATTTTTTTGGATTAATTTATATTAATTTTGTTATTTTTCATGTTCTTCAATATTATTTTACGAATTTGAGATTTTTTAAATCTAAATTTCTACTTATTTGATTACTTATGGTTAAACTTTTTAATTTTAAATGCTTTCATTATAAAATAATTATTATTTTTAAATATTTTATTAATTTTATAAATAATCTTATTATTATTATTATTCTTATTATTATTATTATTATTATTATTATTATTATTATTATTATTATTATTATTATTATTATGCTTTTTCATTCAATATTTTTTCTACATCATTTTCTTAACTTCCAAATAATAATTAATTTTATTCAATATTATTTGGAATTATATATTTCTTTTTTTTTAAATAAACTATATTATAATATATAATTTAAATATATTTTTTTTACATTAACTATATTATGTATAATATTCCAACTATGTATTTAACTTTACATTTCCATACTGCATTCATCGCATTTTTTATCAAACGATGTATGTTAGTTACAATCACAGAAATTTTCCATTATAATCTTATTTTATATAAATAATTTTTTTATTAAAAAATAATACTTTAAAAATAAAATCTTTAGGAAACCTTTTATCTGATATTAATTGACTTGGTGATAATTCACTTAATTTAAAATTAATTTCGCTCTTTTTTTATTTAAAATAAAAAATAAATAAAATATTAAAAAATTTAATATAATTACTTTTATTTTTCAATAAAAGCTGTATTAAAAGAAACTCTTAGCATAGTTTAATTTTTTAATCCTTTGTTTTTAAGTTTTACTAAAACATCTCCATATACCGGTTTTTTTTAATTAACATTAAGTACAAAAATCTCATTTGAATAATTGAAAACCTTTTATTCAAAATATCCCAATTCTGTTGTAATTAATTTTTCTTTTGTATTTACATTATAAATTTCCACAAAAGGCGAACACGAGTCACTTCCGAAATTCGGCCTTTAAACTAATTAAATTTATGTTATATATTTAACAGTTGGATAAATATTTTTTTATTTCAAAATATCATAAAAATAATGCACATATCTCACTTAACATGGTTAATTTACACCTACACCTTCTTTTTCAAATCTATATAATATTTTATTTATATTTTATTAATATTTTTATTTTATTTTGATAACCTTTTTTTACTATAGTAATATAAAGCATCTTCTGGAGTTTTAAATTTACCAGAATAAATTAAATAACAACAAATAATTGTACCTGTTCTTCCTTTTCCTGCTAAACAATGTATTACAACCACGTTTTTAGTATTGGCTTTTTTTTTTTTAGTTTAAATATTTTTAATATATTTATTTTGTATATAACTTTTTAAAAATGTATGAATTCTTTAACATATTTAAAACAAAGTATCGATTGGAGGGGAATGATGATCTTCCCATTCATAATCTACTACCTTTTAATTATATTCTTGTTTATTTTATTTTTTTTAAAAAAAATAGAAATACTTTATTATCAAATTTTGAATAATCGTATTTTCTTCCAGATAAATTTACTATTAAAAAATTAGATTAATGATTTTTTTTTATTAACTCTACAACCTTTAATAATTATTTTTATTTTTATTTTATAAAATATACTGATTATATATCGTTTCTATATAAGGTTTCTATCCCTGAAGCAGGAAATGACATCGCTATTATTCTTTCACATATATATGTTAAATCTAAATTATACCCATCTTATTAAAATCTTTTTTTTGGACCTGATACCATTTCTCTGAAATAATCCATTTTTATTTTATAATTTAATATTTATAATTTTATCTATATTTTTTATTTTATAAAAAAAGCATATAAAAATTTATTTTATTTTAATTTAAGTTTTATAGTTAATTCAAATATATTTTAGTATTTATATATTTATTTATTTTTTTAAAAAAAAAAATATGTCAGATTATATATTTATTATTTTTAAAATTTTATTTTATTATTTAAAAAAAAAAAAAATTAAAAATAAGAATGAATTTAAAAATTTATAAACAATAAATTGAAATTTTCATTTAAATATTATTTTTTGTTAAATAAAATTTAAAAAATATTACAATTTTTTAACATTTATCAATTAGTTTACTTAAATAAAATTTGTTCAATATTTATAATAAATATTATTTAAAATTATTTTAGTTAATATTAAATTAAAAATAATAATTACTTTGTTTTCTAATAACATTATCTTTCTTTTTTCAGTGAAATAAAAAAAATATATATTTCATTAAGAAAAAAAAATTATTTAAGTTTTTTATATCAAAATATTATTATTTATAAATTTTTAAGATTATATAAATTAATTTATTAATATTATTTTTCATATTTTTTCTTGATTTTCATTATATATTTACCGAAATATTTATTATAATTGTTAGTTATTTAAAGGTTTAGATTTTATTATTTTAGGATAAGACAAACAACAACTTTTAGTTTTATTAAAATTATTAATTATTTTAATTTATATATAATGGTAATTTTTCTTCTTTTTGATTTTCTTTTTTTTATGATTTATTATATATATTATTATTATTTTTTTTGGGGGGGAGGAGGGGAGGCAATAAATTGTTAAATCTTCATGTTTTATATGCAAAAAAAATCACAGAAATATAATTTTTGAGATATTTATTAATCATATATGTAAATTTATTATTTTTAAAAAAATTGTATTTAATTATTTATTCATATATTAAATTTAGAATTTCCATAAAAAATATATTAAAAGAAGTAATAAAAATACTAAACTTATAGATTAATCCAAAATAATTTAAAGAAATAAAATTAAGAAGTGATTGATATAAAAATTTTAAGTTTAATTCTCAAAATCGGCTACTATTACTATGCTTTTCTATAAAAAATATTATTTTAATTAATTAAATGAATAAATAAGTTTTTTAGTATAATATATATTAATTTTGATAAATATTAATTTATTTTATTAAATAATACGCTCATTAATTTTAAAAAGATTTTCTAATTATTTATTTTTTTTTATTTTATTAAAATATTTTTAACTAATTTTATTTTTAAAAAATAAAATTCTTAATATGAATATTAATTTTTTTTTTTTTAATTAAGTTTTATTCTATAATATTTTATTTTTTACAAAGTTTTTTTTATTATTATTAATTAATTTAAATGTATTATTTATTTGTTTTTGCTTAATATTATTTATAAAAATATTTCAAAAGTTAATTAAAGGAAAATATTTATAAAAAGTAAAGCCAAAAAACTATATTAATTTTCCATTATTTTTTGAGCTTTATTTTTTAAGAATTTTTTTTAATGTATTTTTTGTAAAAATTATAATTTATTTTAAGATAAATAGGATTAATTTAATAAATTATCTCTTTATATATAAAATTTATTTATTTTTACTAAAAAAAAAAATATAAAAAAAAACAAAAAAAACTAAGAAAAATAAATTATTATTTATTATTAAAAAAAAAAAAAATGTTCCAATAAGATAATTTAATAAATAATAACAGTATACTTCAAAAAAATCTCTCATTTCGCGTAAAACGTATAAATTCAGAAACTATTTCATCAAATAATTAAATTACTTAAAATTGTTAAAGCGATTAAATATTTTTAAATACGTAAAATGATTTTCCTAAATAATAGCCAGTATAAAATTATTATGAATTGGAACAAAATCCATTTTCATCAGTTATTGGAACAAAAAAAGTATATAATCTGAAAGTTAATAATCAATTAATAAAAATAATATAATTTAAGAAAACATTAGTATAATTTAAAAACATTTAAATTTATAAAATATTAATTTTTAATAAAATTTGATAAATTCTTTTCAAGATAATATCTCTCCTATGAGAATATAGACATTTCCGAAAGAATTAATTAGAACAGTTGATTCAATTGTTAATATAATTAATAAGGATGATGATATTTTATAATCTTATTAATAAGAGGTGACTATATATTGCAATATACCTTCACATTGTAAAGAAAAGATAATTATGGTATGTGTAGATCCTTATTGTGAAGCAAAAAATAGAATTTGCTGCGGATATTGTCATTAATTTCATTCTAATCATTATAAATATTTAATAAAAATTGATGAATACAAAAACGTGGTAATAAATGGTGAAGCATTGAATTTATTTTTAAATCAAGACAAAAATGAAGGAAATTTCAGATAAATTTTCAAAGATTTTAGTGACAAATATTAGGAAATAATAAATAATATAGTAGATTTATTAGAAGAGGAATATTAAAAAATTTTAAATTGTTTAAATTTAGAAATAGAATAATAAAATAAAAGAGAAATATTTGTTTTAGGAAATGATTATGAATAATATAAATAAATATAAAACAATGTAAAATAAAACTTGTTAAATAAACTATCAAATAAGGAAATTTACAAAATTTATTATATGAATAAAAGTATTGAATAAGTAAAGAAAAAGAAAGAAGAAAATATATAAATTAACAAATAATAATATTCAAAAATAGAAGAAATATTTAATTAAATAATTTTAAAAAAAGAAAATTTATGTAAAGAATTTTAATAATCAATAAAGGAATTAGAGAAAATTTTTAAGTCAAAATTAAGTTTAAAAAATGATAATTAAATATAAAAAAATAATATAAAAAGTATTGATAATAATAATAAAAATAATAATAATAATAATAATAATAATAATAATTTAAACTATAAATAATTAAAATAATTTTAATAATTTAATTAATTTTCATATAAATAAAAATAATAATAATTCTAAACATACTAATAGTTAAAACTAATCATTTTAATAAAATTTTAAAAATTTTTAAATTATTCCATGTTTACCTTAGTGGTGTGAACAGCTATATAAAAATATATTTAATAATAAAATTATATACGAATATTTATAAAGTGGAAACATATATATTGGATAATTTTAAAATGATTAAAAAAATGGTTATGGAATTCAAATTTTTAAAAAATAGTAAATTTTTTATGGAGGAGAATTTAAAAATGATTTAATAAACGGAAAAGGACAAATGCATTTATAAAATGGAAATATGTAAATATATATTATATATCTATATTTATATATATAAATTTTTTTAATTTTTAGATATTAAGGAAATTTCAAGAATGGATTAAAATATGGTAAAGGTACATTATATTAATACGGAAAAAAAAGATATGAAGGAAGTTGGCAAAATGATCAGTTTTGGGGAAAAGGCATTTAGTATCTATAAAATGGTGATAGGTTTGAAGGGTATTTTAAAAAGGATTAAAAGAAGGTGAAGGGATTTATTATTATTTAAATGGAAAATCTATTAAAGGAACATGGAAATAAGATAAATTATTAAAATGAATATTTGGAATTTTTATTTAATTTTTTCTATTTTAATAAATTATATACAAAATATTTATTTTTATATTTTTTTTCTTTTTAATATAAAATATTAATTATTTGTTATA